TTATTCATTATGGTTTAAACAATCGCTTCGTTACAATTTCCGCTTTTGTTAAAAAATCATGTAGGAGGAAATGTTGCTTGTGCTACATAGAAAAATACAATGTTCAAGTTAAAGCATGGCTGATGATCCCACCTAAGTTTTTGCACTGCTTTGAAATAAACACTTACCCTGAGTTGTAAATTGCATGGATTTTAATAGAAAATGGAATAGCAACGATTTTCAGGAGCGCTTAATTGTGACGCGATGATACCAGATTGGAAGCAAAATTTAGTTTTATAGCGTGTTTCGTTTCATCTAAAGACCATGTAACGAAAGTTCGTCTCCATGCCTTTTGTTAACATCAATTAAAACGGAATTTAAGCAAAAATCCAGTTGAATCACAGCGTTGCACAGCTCTCTATTAGCCTAGTTTCAAGCAGAGTGGTAACCCGTTACTGGCTTCTGAGTGAAAAAATATACAAAACTAGAGGTTCCATACTGGAAGTGAAGTGCGGCCCCATGTGGAAAGATCAAGGTGTTGGAACGGTAGTAAATAATCTATTGTATCTCAGTTTAGGATATCACCTGGTCTTCAACGTTGTAAGATTAAAAAACGAGAGAGTAAATTGTTGTCTCCCTCGCAGCCGTTTTTGTCTCTTCTTGCAAAGGTAGGAGCATTGCGTGACGAGACAAAAGGGTCAGTACCCATGTAAGACTCCAGAATATATATTACTTTTTAAACACGTTATTGTCTCTTTTCCCATGTTTTCCTGTGTTTTCCCCTATGTTTTCTGTTTTCTACTGTTTACCTATGATTCCCCTTGTTTTCTCCTGTTTTCCTATGTTTTCCCCTGTTTTTCTCTGTTTTCCTCTGTTTTCCTATGTGTTCTCCTGTTTTTCCCTGTTTCCCCTATTGTTCTATGTTTCCCTCTGTTTTTCTATGTTTTCCCTGTTTTCCTATGATTCCCCCTGTTTTGTCCTGTTTTCCTATATTTTCCTCTGTTTTCCTATGATTCCCCCTGTTTTGTCCCGTTTTCCTATGTTTTCCCCTGTTTTTCTATGTTTTCTACTGTTTACCTATGATTCCCCCTGTTTTCTCCTGTTTTCCTATGTTTTCCCATGTTTTTCTCTGTTTTCCTATGTTTTCTCCTGTTTCCCTATGACTCCCCCTGTACATGTTTTTCCCTGTTTTTCTATGTTTTCCTCTGTTTTCCTATGTTCTCTCCTGTTTCCCGATGATTCCCTCCCTTTATGTCCTGTTTTCCTATGTTTTCCCTTTTCCCCCATCTTTTTCTCTGTTTTCATACGCTTTCCCTGTTTTCCTGTTTTCCTATGTTTCAGTTCTGCTGTTTTCCTCTCTTTTCCCCTGTTTTCCTATGTTTTCTCCTGTTTACCTATGATTTCCTCTGTCTTCGCCTGTTTTCCTATGTTTTGCCCTGTTTTTCTATGTTTTCCTATGTTTTCTCCAGTTTTCCACTATTTTCCCCTCAACCGCTCACCGTGGTTTTCTCTGAAAACCATGGGAAAATAGGGGAAATCATGGGAAAACATAGGAACCGCAAGAGAAAACATAAAAAAACATTCTTATGACATTCTTTATATTCGGGACATATTATGGATTCTTACATGAGGTAAACCAAAGGAGAATAAAAACAAACACAGAGCGTAATGCGAGCAGTGAATTCCCAAAATATTTTAATCAATAACAACAAGCATCAATATATCTCACTAATATATTATCCGTATGTTTTTAAAATTAACGCTGTTTAATGAAAGGTTGTATATAAAATACATACTCCAAAATCAGTTTGGATTGTTATTGACAAATACACAATAAAGACATATTTAAAAGAAAGGTTTCAAAAAGCATCTCGATTTAGTGAATTGCCACTGAACTGACAAATTCGTTTCTGTTGTATTTATTTTTTTACTTGATGAGATCAATACAAATAAGTATTTTAAATGATCAGGAAAAGCTTCATTCAGTTTGCCCACTTCGGTAAGCAAATCGATCGCTNCGGGGGGGGGGGGGGAGGGAGAATCCGCATATGAAAGGGGTAGGGATGCTCGTTGGAAATTTTGAATTTAACCCCTAAAGAAGACCTATCTGGGCGTGGCCCAAGCTTTTTTGTCCCCTAAAAGAGACCACGTTGTAGGTTATATCTTTATATTGTTTCGCGTGCAACCCTAAACGAGACCTTCACGGCTAAATATGATGGCGTTTTTGCCCAGAACACCCTAAGTGAGACCAAAATCCGAAATTTACACCCCTAAGCGAAACGACGAGCATCCCTACCACTTTCATATGCGAAGTCCCTCCCCCGGGCCACAATGATCCACGGCTGATAACTGGTTGGGCTCATGGACTGACAGTGCTGCGAAAATGAAATAACATCTCCCCCTGGAATCTTCACTTAAACGTTCGCTACCTTCCCCAAATACTTAACTTTACAACTGACATGACAAGCAAATGAATAACTTACCGGCTGCATTGCAAAAAATATTAAACTGTTCCTCGCACTCGCGCCCGACTCTCGACTGCCAACCTCATTATACATAACACTCAAGCTCTCCTCTAAATCTCAGTTTGACCCAACAAGAAAACACCCACAACCTTTGGGTGCGGCCAGGAACCCATCAATGATGGGCTCCTGGTGCGGCTCGCTTCAAGCCAAGCGCTCGGTTTATTCTCCGAAAAGACTAAAGGATATATGACATATCATAGAAAAGTAATATACAATCCTAGTAACCTTCAGCTTCAAAGAACTAAATCACAACCTAACTGAAATGGGGTCGTGGAACAACAGCTGGGTGAAAAACCTCCCCGTACGTCCACTTGCACCAAGGAGGAAAACCCCAGGCCAGCTGTACCCCATAAACAACGGTCCCCCGGGCAAGACCGACTAAATAGAAACTAGAATAAATTAAAAGCGGTACGAACGAGAAGATAAATACCTAAAGCATTAGAAACCGACAAACGTGAAGATAACGAATCTTGGACATACCCGTCCTTAGCCGATTCACTAGCCCCGCGGCCATGACGCGTAAAAATGTTGGTCTGGTACGCCGGCATTTGCGGCAGCAATAGCTCCGCCACTCCTAAAGATATGCGTACCAATGGCAGAAATATCAGGTACAGTATCTTTAAAAGCCTCTAGCACTAATTATCTTAATCGTGAACAGCTTAAACCTTTAGATCTAGGCTCATAACCACATTTAGTTTTGGGGAGCTGGATAAAAAAAGGATAATAACACGAGGTTTTATTTTAGCAACACTTGTTCTTTACTTGGTAAGGAGCTTTACTCCAGTTATTTACTACATATCTTGAATAAATCCCCATTGAATTTAAGAGTCTAATTCTGGACCTTTTTAAAGTTTTCTTTTAATTTTTTGGTCGATTCTTAAACTCCAGATAATAAATAATTATAATCCTGTCTGAATCTAGTAAGACAAGGCATGCGTTTTGATGGTCTTCCTGTGGTTTAGAACTCAACTCCTTATTAGGTTATGCAGGTTATTCTTCCTTTCTTGTTTGGTTTTACTGTGCGAAAGCATATTTACCTGACGATTACTACTGTGTACACGAATTATCTGGAAATCAATGCATTGTTACTATTTGGCTTTGAAATTTTGCAGAAATGTCTAGTCTAACTTATAATTCTTCTTTGGTCTTTAATGAAGTGAGCCCATTTCTAAGGGCGCTGTCTCGAGTTGGGCGTCTGTGTTTCCAATTTCCCGAGAAGATATGAAGTTTTATTCATTTATTATTATCACCTTGCCACAATAAAACAATGCAATCATTGAAATAAATTAGGTGTATACTTTGTTCAGGGCCTAGAAAATATTTATACAATTATGTTCGCTTGTTGTTTTACACGCGTTGATTTGTGAATAAGAATTTCCATGAATGACGGCTGCAAAGAATGGCTGCATGACACGAAATAGACCAGATCACGAGTTTTGGAAACCTAACAATAAGCGTAATTAGAGAGGCTATCATTCGTGCGCATTTTTAAAACATTTCTTATTCTTCACACCAGGGGGGGGGGGGGGGGG